TATGACACATTTGTTTTAATTCCCTGTAGCTTTCCTTCAAGGGTTTGTATACATCCTTGTCCATCCATCATAACTCTAGGCCTACCTGGTTACGTCACTATCTTTCTGTACTTAAATTTTATGTTTATATTAGATAGTAATCTGTTTTATTGTTTGTTTCAAGAGCATCAGATCCTGAGCAAGTATTCTATGGTGGAGAAGTAAAAGGTGAAGCAGCAGTGGTTAAAGAAAGTGACATTGGAAATTCTCTCCATCATGTCTATTCAGTAAGTTTATGGAAGATTGTTATTTTACTGATTGACAAATTATTTTTCCACTGCATCATAAAACCCCAACTACCTAACTTTCTCTGAATATTCGTGTTTTTTGTGATACAGATATTCTCTCAAAATTTTAAGGCACTTTGTTTATGTAAAAATAAAATCTTGTTTCTACGAAGGAATACTTCAGCACTTTTAACTAATAGACAGACTACTAATCAATCTACATAAATAATACGCTTCAATTTGTCTCTCCGGAACATTTCTCTCACATTTCGTGATGAAACTCTACAAATCTCATATTGTTAGAAAGCCATTTGTCCAAGGATTTTGGATTGCATATCAGCTTTTTCGTTCAGATTCACCTTATCTATTTTTTGATTATTCAAACTTATTAATGCAATAAATATGCTACACGATGGTACACTGTAGTTGTCATCACGTGATAACTGGATTTGATTTCAACTTTAATCCAGTTAACAGTTAACCCACGTGTAGTTTCCTAACAAAATTAACATAAGTATTTCACATAAACAACAGTTAACCCACGTGTAGTTTCCTAACAAAATTAACATAAGTATTTCACATAAACAACAGTTAACCCACGTGTAGTTTCCTAACAAAATTAACATAAGTATTTTACATAAACAACAGTTAACCCACGTGTAGTTTCCTAACAAAATTAACATAAGTATTTCACATAAACAATAGTTAACCCACGTGTAGTTTCCTAACAAAATTAACATAAGTCTTTCACACAAACAACAGTTAACCCACGTGTAGTTTCCTAACAAAATTAATATTACACTAAATACAATTATTCTCGACTTCTTTATGTCTAAAACGCAGTTTGTTCAAAACCATCTGCTTATCACTTTGTGAACATGCCTTCAGGCAGTTCTGCATATTCAGCTGAGTTTGCCATCATTACAACTTTACATTTACATTACTTTACAATAACACAGCTTTTGTTTGTTTCATAGACTGCTATAAACACCATTTAGCTACTGTTTTCTTTACTGCGGGTTTTATTCTTCATTTTTTGTGAGTTTCTTTGTTTCAACTCGTAAAACCATGTCATACACTGTACGCTCATAATTGTTTCATACTCTGTACACTGTTGTAAATACCGTTACTTTATTGTTTATATGTAGTTTATTAAATAAAAATATGTACGTGTAGTTTTATTAAATAAAGATATGTACGTTTAGTTTTATTAAATAAAGATATGTATGTGTAGTTTTATTAAATAAAGATATGTACGAATAGTTTTATCAAATAAAGATATGTACGTGTAGTTTTATCAAATAAAGATATGTACGTGTAGTTTATCAAATAAAGATATGTACGTGTAGTTTTATCAAATAAAGATATGTACGTGTAGTTTTATCAAATAAAGATATGCACGTGTAGTTTTATCAAATAAAGATATGTACGTGTAGTTTTATCAAATAAAGATATGCATGTGTAGTTTTATCAAATAAAGATATGTACGTGTAGTTTATCAAATAAAGATATGTACGTGTAGTTTTATCAAATAAAGATATGCACGTGTAGTTTTATCAAATAAAGATATGTACGTGTAGTTTTATGAAATAAAATTATTTCTATGTGAGTTTGTTTGTCTGACTGCATAAAATTGTTTTCAATAGACCAGTCTTTATCCATCTAACACATAATGCATACAAGAAGGCAGAGCTTAAATGGCATGTGTGAAAATGATAGAATAAGGAAAATTGAAGTGAAGAACAGGAAACTACCACAAATGTGTTACGGTGTCGTTACTAGTTTGTAGAGTTAATAATGCTATACTTACAAAACAGGTATTTCTCACACATTTAATTGTAGCTTATTCTTCAACAGTTACATTCTCTCTATTTCATTCTTTTGTGGATGGATAGAAAATAGCACTAAAAAGATGTAATTGCTTAAACACAAAAACTCACGTTTATTCATGTTGAGATAACTAAAATTTTAAACATACACATTTCTTTAGTGTCAGAAATGTAAAAATAGACCAGTTTTTATCCATCTAACACATAATGCATACAAGAAGGAAGAGCTTAAATG